TGGAGGAGAAAAACTGTTCCTGGGATACGGCTTAATAATTTCTGGGCTAAATTTTTAAGCTTTATCCCCAAGGGTTGGAGATGGTCTTAGGAGGTATAACGCTAGGTTAGTTGTTAAAGGGTTTAATCAAGAACAAAATTTGATTATGGTGAAACCTTTAGTCTAATAACTGGAAATGCTACTGCTACTATTACTGATGTTATCACTACTCTTACAAAGGAAGTTGATATTAAGGATTTGGGATCTTTACATTATTTCTTGGGAATCCAGATTGTTCACAAAAAAGGATGGCATTTTTCTTTCTCAGGGTAAGTATGTTACTGAGTTACTTAACAAGTCTTTCATGTTTTTGCATAAACCTTGTACCACTTCTTGTTTACCGTATAATAGATTGTTAAAGGATGATTGTAAACCCTTTAATTAACAATCTAGCATTATACATATTCTTGGTAGGAGGCCTTCAAAATCTTACAATTATCAGGCCTGATATTACATTTAGAATGCATCAGGTTTATTAGTTTATGCAGTGACCCATGAATTTTCATTTTGTAGCAATAAAAAGGATCCTTAGGTATCTCTTGACACACCTTGACCCAGAATGTCCACTTGGACTCCGAACTAAGCTGTGCTGGCCGACACCCAGAGGGTGACAAAGCCATTAAGTGTAGTGATGTGGAAAATGTGAATAAATTTAAACCTAAAAGTGCCTAAATATAAGAGTGCGGATGTGAGCGGGAACGAACCCATTTCACATGTGATGTCAGAGCATAAGTAAAGTACAATAAAGTAGGATAAGAATTATGCCATCAACGGTAATCTCCAATACCAAGATTTGCCAAGAGTCCTCGTCGATACGTAAGCTCAACTACTAAAACCTGGAGGGGCGAAAAGTAAGGGTGAGTGGGCCTAAAAATAAAGATTTATAAAAACCTTTTTTAAAAACATTATAACCCCTCGCCGTAAAACAAGTATAGCTTTCAAAATATACATACTACATATAGTATGAAAATACTTACCGTAGCCTGCAATTTCTCAAGAATACAATACGTCACAAAATTCATTAATAAATACATGACATATGTAATCACATAATCTGGCATAAGCAAACATATCATATCTAGTGCTCATCGACACATGCTGACACACAAGTTCATGTAGAGATATTTTGACATGAACAAGACTAGATGTAACAATCATATACGCTCTAGTACTACAATCACGTGAAGATTGGTGCTATGCACATCACATACGAGTCCTAATTCCTATAGCAATCTAGAATATGACTGGCACCTACAATGGATACACGTGAAAGACTGGCCTTGGCCTAAGCGAGTACTAACATCGGTGCAACAAATGATAAGCATATAACATAAATATAGTTATGTCACAGTGATTCGATAATTCTAGTCAACATAGAATTATTCATATCCGTAAATATAGTTATGGCATAAATAATAAAACGCATACTTGTGCATCCCATAGGACGTAGCATAACTTCATAATTTCTATCAATGTGCTAAGTCTTATAAACGTCACGCTAACCTAGGCATATTGTAGAAAACTCTTTATGAAATGTATAAATGGAAACTAACAATTATATATATATGCTATATAAAAGAAAAGACCCATTCACAGTTACTTATGATGTCACATCCGTTCGAGTTAGGAAGCTGAAGTCTCCAATAGTAAGTGCACCTAAGCATAATATTGGGACCCATTAGTAAAACTCAACTTAAATGGGATTTGGAATCAGGGCATTGAAATAAGCTAAGGAGGGTCCTCGATAAATTTTACAAAAAGTCAACTAAAAAGTCAACGATCAATCCTAAAAAGTCAACCGACATGTCGGGACATTCACTAAGTTAAAACTTCGAAATTTCACTAAATGGATGTCAAAAACAGACTCAGAGCGTCAAAATTAGCCTAGGAGGGTTTTCGAGAAAATTTCGAAAAATTCAACATGCCAAAGAATATTCTAAGAATATTCTAGGAGTATATATATTCCTAGAATATTTTGAGCCCAATTTGGAACTGAGCTGGGCTAGAACATCAGCCCAAGGGTTTAGGCCAGTTGGGCTAAAGATTTGGGCCAAGATTTTGGACTGGGTTTTGGGCTTATAGAACCTTTTTTTTTTTTTTTTCCTTTCTTTCTTCTCCGGCCAGTTGCCATTGCAACCGGCGGATAAATCCTTGCTCCGACCACCTAAATTATTCACTAAACCTAGCCTTCCAATATATCAAATCGAAGCTCAAAGAATAAGGAGCCGAAATATACCTTTGGTTTCCTCAGTTGTGGCCATAGTTGACTGGAAATGGGCTCAAAAGCCGCTGGAAAACTAGGGGAGAGTTTCCCCTAAATTTTTCTGCACCAAAACTTTGACATTTCTCTCAAATAAGTCAAGAATCGCAAACAAATCAGATATCTAAGATGATTAACATTAACTTTTCAGGTTTACCTTAGTTGGAAACATCATATCCTCGCCGGAATCCTCTTGGATTCGAATGGAGCTCGGCAGCTATTGCTAAAATTAGATTAATCGAAATCAACCTAATTAAGTCCAAAATTTTAATGCTCACAAGTGTACTAATCACAGTATAATATAGTAAGCAAGCACAAGATCGTTCCAACTAAGATTGAATGTAATTCTAACTATCTAACTAAATTTAAGTTTCACTTGAATTGGAAAAGAAAAATTGATGATTTGAATAAGAATTTTGAAATGGTGATTGTAAATAAAATGAAATAAACTTAGCTAAGTGATGACAACGACAAAGAAAACAGATTATAATTCAATTGTGAAAAGCACTAGAGCATCCGATTCACCATAACCAATCCTACTTAATTCAAACAGTTAATTATTAACGAATAAACATCCAATTTGACGATCTAGTTCCTCTAATTCATATAGTATCCATGGCATCTAGATTACTACGTATACTCATATGTGCTAATAATCTATGGCATCTAGACTACTAAACACACACAAGTTCATTAACAATTTGGGAACTAACTAAAAGACCCAATGAAACCTAGTGTATGGCATCACTACTATAAAAGACCGAATGAAACCTAGTGTATGGCATCACTACTACAGAAGTGACTTATTGTGTCGGTGGTTGGTGTTGGTTTTATATAATAAAGTGGTAGATAAGATATTTCCGTCAACCCTTTCCATGATGTTGAAATTACTGTCGAGTATAACTGACATAAACTATTAATGTCGCTTATAACCGACATAAATTTTAATCTTGTTAAATGGTGGTGTCGTTTAAAAAGAAAATCACGTCGCATTATGAATAGTGTTGCTTCTACGCGACACTAATAATAGTTTTTAAATATTGTAAAACCCAATATCGGTTGTAGCCGACACTAACAATTATTTTTTAATAGTTTAAAACCCAATGTTGGCTGGTTCCCATTACTTCACGTGACTCTCTCTCTTACACACACATCAGTGCATCACATCATTTTTTAATTTCCTTCTATTTGGCTGGTTCCCTCATGTGGGTTCTTTATCTATCTCTGATACACATGCCTCATTTCTCTCACTTTTCTTTCTTTCTTTCCTTCTTTTTTTTTTTAATTGGTTCTTCTTCACTGCCTCTCTTTTCCGTCTCCATAATATCTCTCTCTGTACCCACCCACTCAACCTTCTTTTATCCCTCTCTCTCTCTCATTCATATTCTCTCTATTTTTCCTCAACTTCTCCATTTCCCATCCCTCCATCTTCTTCTCTTTTGGGCGGGATATTTCCCCCCCTTTTTTAAATGAAAAAGAGGATGTCAGTCTCCCAATTTCAAGAGGCTCAGCTCCCTCATTTATCTCTCCCTTCTTCCAAGCATACCCTAAAACCGTAGCTCATCTCTCCACATTTTCTCAAACCCTAACCTCTGTTTCTGCAAACCAAACCTTAATCTTCCATCATCAACCCATGAGACCTCGCAGCCATGGATTTACTGCATCACCAAAAAGGTAACAATACCGATCTTCGTGCCAACGCACTCAAAGGTAAACTTTTCACCCTCCCTTGCCGATTCATGCACTCAGGTTCGCAGATCCATAATTTTTTGAAGGTATAAAACCTAAGTTTAATCTATAGAGATTAGAGCCCTAATGTTAAAGTAGTAAAGTATTGGAGCACTAATCTGATGGCAAGCATGGTAGCATGGAGCTGCTAGCATTATATATGGTAGCATGGAGCTACAAAATCTATGGTCTTCGACAAAGGCAAGCACGGGAAAGCATCATGGTAGCTGCTAGTATTATATGCAAGCATGAAGCTCTGATTAGTATTATATGTAATTGTTAGTTTTTTTTATCTTCATCTTGTAACCAGTTCTATAATAGCTCCTATATATATGTTATTTGTATTTCCTTATTTATATGAAATAGAATACATTTAACAAGAAATTCTACATCCAAAGACCCCGTCAAATTCTTGAATAAATTGAATCTGTGAGTTTGCATCCCATGTACAATCTATGTAGGAATGCATGATAATTATTTTATTTATCAAGATGTTGGGTAATGTCGGTTAAGACCGACAAGAGATTGAGTATTTTATTTGTTAGCTGCTAGTTGACGTCGGTACTTAATGTCGCTTGTATCCGATGCAAGCCTTGATGTCACTTTTAAGCGAAGCTGTTGTTCTTTCTTATTTTATATTACTTTGCTTCTTGGTGGCGGATTAAGGGGGTTAAGCGACGTCAATACCCTTTTTGTGACGGTAGCATTGGTGTAGGTTCCTCTATCCGATATTGCACGATTTAATGTCAGATTTTTACTAAAAATCCGATAGTAATTGGGGTTTGTTGTCGGTTTTGCGACCGCCAATGATATCCCCTTTTGTAGTAGTGCATCTACAACAAGGAATTCATGGTACCGCTAAAACAAAATTAACAACATGGCATATGCATTAACTTGCATCACATACACTCGATTGAGACCCAAGTGGTAGCTAATCACAAGAATTAAAATCAAGTTCATAAGCACAGCAAAATGATACTCAAGGGAATGCAAATTCATAAATAATTAAACTGAAACATTAAGCAATCATGGTTAGGCTACATCATAGCCCTAGCAAAATGAAATTAGTTCCAAAACATAATCAAAATTGGTACTGAATCCATAAGAAATAATAAGAAAATTTATTTTAGAAAAGGCCTAAAAAATCCCCTGGTTTGCCGCTGCCGTTTACCCTTTTCTTTTCTTGTGAATAATTGATCCGTTCCTTTTTCTTTTTCCTCTTCTGTTTTAATTTTCTTCTCTGTAACTGACAATGAGTTAAAACCCATTTATTGACAACATTAGAAGAAAAGAAAACCGAAGAACTCTTCAATTATCTACTAGCCACTTTGTACAATAAACACACCTTGATTACTTTCTCCATTTGCCAACGTTTTCCCTTGTACCTTTAGTCTACTTGCTGTTGCAAACCCCCTCTGTGCCTTCTTTAATTATCCGCTCAATTCCAGTTGAAGTTTCATCTCCAAATAGATATCCACCATGGCTGAAAGTGATCAGACTTCCTCTGGAATTGAACAAATTGTGCAGCCAAATATCCCGAATTATGCTTTTGGCAAAGACCCATGAATTTGAAACTACTTTGTGTAGGTGATTCACCATATTTCTCTCCAATTTAACTTCACTAAGATCTCTCTTTATTCCGGTTTTGTATGGAGGCTAACCCTGGAAAATGGGAGAGGAAATATGCAGCTTTCTTTTGTTTTTGTTTTTCTTCTTCTCCTTGTCAGTTCAGTATTGCATAGACTTGTGATCTATGAAATAAATACGTGCTGAAGGCTTCTCCAATTCCAATAAGTGACCTACACTGCACATAAATCAGAAGAAATGAATGTAGACCATAAGTATATTATAAAGCCAAATAAGTAGATACTTAAATCATAACAGACCACTTGGTTTAATTAAAAATAAGGAATTATAACTGTTATTTTCCTCCAACTTATTAATATAACTATAAAAGCACAACACTAGGTAATTCATTTCATCTAAGTCCAAAATATCATAGGAAAATGTAGTTTTCGAGAGAAAATAAATAGTAAAATATGCGCTCAATAGCATCCTAGCCATGAGCAGAAAGAGTCCACGCGAGAGAAACTAACAAGAGGGAAAGAGAGAGAGAGAGAGAGAGAGAGAGAGAGAGAGAGTGTGTGTGTGTTTGTTTGGTGGATCTCATCGGAGATGAAGAGGTGGTGTGGTGATGCTTGTCGTTCCGACGAGGGTGGTATGGTGTGGGTGGCTCTTTGCACTTGTAGAAAGAGAGAGGTAAGACAAAACTTAGAAAGAGAGAGAGAGAGAGAGAAAGAGAGAGAGAAAGAGAGGGAAGCAGGGACAGTAGGGATAGGAGACACACGTGGGTGGGTTCCACCATGCAGAAAATCTACACAAAAAAAATTAATAAAATAATGAAGGGTATTTATCTAGAATAATGAATTTACCAAAATGCCTTTGAACTTCGTAAGTCCATAAAATCTCTGTCATAACTCCAAATTCAATTCTGCTTGCATCCACGCGTTCGTAGTGATGAGCACTATGAGGATACACTAAATGAATGTTTCATATGTCTCACAACACGCTGGCCAACGAAAGTCAACATCCATGCCTATAAGGGCATTTTCGTCAATTCACTCTTTTAAAATTAATAAAATTGTAAAATTAGGGATGGGTTGTCACAATCTACCCACCTTAGAAAAAATTTCGTCCCCAAAATTTGAAATAAGTTGTTATGCATAAAACACTCAAAGATAAAAACTTTCCTTCTCCTTCAGTACAATACTAAAATTTAAAATCCTTTCTTAAAACATAAAGTCAAAAATACATATATAGTAACATATCGTCAAAACCGAACATAGAAAGATTTCACCTACGCACTCATAGTGTATCGTACTCCGAGAATAAGTGTGTAGTATCTTTGGGCCAAGCTCAAACAATAAATAAATAAAATAACGTAAACGGCCTAATTGTCCACTTGCTTAACGAATCCAACAAATAAGTTATCAATATTATAGTCTGTGGCCCGCAATACCGATAACTCACTGTTGTCACGATAAGTAAGAAGATAATTCCCGAAGGTGCAATATTACCATCTTGCCCCTCACTATGCAACCGAACATTGTAAGTCACATATACCAAAGCAAGTAGATTCTTATTATTTTCCACTTGGGTTTAGCAAAAAAACTATATCAAGAAAGCTAAAAGAACACTCAAGAATTTGAGGGTCAAAACAAGTTCATCAAATCTAGAGTACAAAGTAACTAGATTAAATGTATAACATCTCGCTATAATGGTAACTTCTGAAAAATTCAACCACCAATGATAAAGATTTTCTTAGTAGAGTATCTGTTAGGTGATTGAGTAATTAATGGTCGCAACTAAAATTTCAACGTCTGAGCAATTTTTCTAGACGATCTGTCTGCCCCAGAAACTATACAAAGTGTAGTAGGGTAGAAGCATACCTAAGGTCGACTGGAATGCCTTTCGGCATAAATAGGTGAATATGGAATCACAATCAGAGTAGATGCTGATCGAAATGCCAGAAAATCCGATAAATTTAAGAATGAGCAATTTTATCAAGAGATCTAAAATGCAGTCTATCTGGACCAACAAAAGGTGAGTTGACTTGTCGTTGAACATTTTCATATTCTCCACTTGTACGAGATGCCTTATACCAGAAGCGTATGGTGGTATTTCGCCATCTCCATTTGGATACAGGAAGTGATTACAACCATTCAAACGATTTCTTGATGGTTTGTAGGTAACACCATATCAATACTCGTGAATTCCAACTGAAATGGAATAAGACAAGCTAAATGTGTTCATTAACTGCGTTTGCACAATTAGGGTGATACACGATGGTGTAATTGTAGGCGTTGATTCGGTATCTCCATCATCGTTGTTAGAATTTAGCTCTTCTCAAAAGAAGATGTATTTAAAAGGTTTAAGGTTGATAAAGATTTTAGGCACATTTCTCCACAAAGAAGTGTTATCCGGTTTCAAGTAAAGATGGTAACCTGTTGACTCTAAGTCATGAATAAGGTGGTTCATTTTGAACGGTTCTAACCGTTGGGAAAAATAAGTGACACTCCGTCATGTGGCATCTACACAGCCAAAACATCCAAAGAAAACGTCATCATGGATTTTGAAATGATCAATGTCATCAAAAGGTGTAAAACAAAGGTAAGGTGAGACAACACTTCAGTTTTCAACAACTTTATTCATATCCAACATCTTAAACTAAATTAACTTTCCTTGGTCATAAGTGAGGAAAGACACTATAGCCGAAAAATCGCTAACAAATTGTCGATAAAATCGACAAAACCAGAGATATCTCGAATTTCACAAGACTTGTTAAGGATTTCAACTTTCATCTGCTACAACCTTTTGAGAAAAAGAAAATAATATTGTCTACTGAGATCACGTCTCCCAAAAAAAGTACCAATTTAATCAAAGTTGACAGTTGAGAAATTTGGTATAAAGCTGACTATCGGTGTTTAGAAAATTTGATCTCATTGCTGAAGTAGGTGGGAAAGTCATCAGTAAGACCACTACGAATTCGACAAGCTACGGAAGAAAACTCGAGTTCCAAAAGTTGGTTGGGTAGACCATCAATTCGAAGTATGGGTTAATGATTTTAATCGTCACCCAATTGAGTTGCTAAAATCTAGGTACGATCCTAAGGTTTGGTCTTTCACCTTCGCTAATAGGTTCGAGGTTCCCTAGATAAGGTGTTTGGTTGCATAAATTCCTAATTGGTAAGCTTTCGTAACTAAGTTCTCTTAATGATGTAGGAGTTATTTGAAAAGACTTAAGGAAAATTGGTGTAGTACAAGAAAGTGGATCGATAGTGTATTTCACTTCACCATTTAGTGATATCCAAGGTAAAATTTGAGAATTGACGCCAAAGGTATACATCCTCGGAACATAAAATACTACTTCCTTTCTCTACGACACGTACTAATGGGTGTTCGTGGCTTTCTCGATACACAATTCACTTTTACAGCGTGATTTCAACTCATCTTTCAATTGTAATGTTTGTCTGTGGAGGTGATCAGAAAGGTGACTGGTCGAGAATGTTCTGGTTACCTAGATGGGTAAAATGGTTAACATAACTACAACTTTATGGTCCTCCTACACAACTTGCTCTTAAGTTTCCAAGATTTAGTTTATTCGGCTCAAGTAGTCACTGTTAATCAGTCTATTAGTCATGTCACTAATTAACGCATCTACGATACTTTTGATATTGTTCGTTACCCTGAAACTGTGAACCGGCATTCTGGCATAAAGGTATCACTCCTAGATACGAGCATGTGTCAAGTATCAGAAAACATACCGCCTGAATACTAGTTGACATTTTTAGATATCGGATAATATCGTCACTTAGTGGCACCACCGTAGGCTCATTACAGGTTAGAGCCCGCTCAGGTGGATGGTTTCGAACGATTGGTAAATGACTGGTCTGGTGAGGTGGTTTCATTAATTCTAGGGAAAATACTTACGACTTCGAGGATTTCTATTGATCGTAGGTATAACAACTCGTACACTTGTGCCTATGCTCGTTGAAATGACTAGTACATCACTAAAAGAAATTCTAAAGGCTAGTATTGGTTAGAATATCGTAAGGCCGGAAATCTGGACTTTGGTAATAATCTACTTTAGAACGGACTAAACAGAAATCAATCTTCCTCTTGAAGATCCGAAATGATAACTAGTACATTTAAGAAGATTAGTGCTATCAGGGACCAAAAGTGTGAGTGAGCCTAAGAGTCCTCGTCGATATGTGAGCTCAGCTACTAAAACCTAGAGGGGCGAGAAACAAGGGTGAGTGAGCCTAAAAATAAAATTTTATAAAAACCTTTTTTCAAAACATTATAACCCCTCGCCATAAAACAAGTATAGCTTCCAAAATATACATACTACATATAGTATGAAAATACTTACCATAGCCTGCAATATCTCAAGAATACAGTACGTCACAAAATTCGTACATAAATACATGACGTATGTAATCACATAATCTTGCATAAGCAAACATATCATATCGAGTGCTTATCGACACATGCTGACACATGAGTTCATGTAGAGATATTCTGACATGAACATGACTGGGTGTAACAATGATATACGCTCTAGTACTACAATCATGAGAAGACTGGTGCTATGCGCAGCACATACGAGTCCTAATTACTTATAGCAATCTAGGGCAAGACTGGCACCTACAATGGATCCAAAGTGAGTGTACGATGCGATGTGCACATACACATGAAAGACTAACCCTGGACTGGGTGAGTACTAACACCAGTGCAGTAAACGATGAGCAGATAACATAAATATAATCATGCCATAGTGATTCGATGATTCTAGTCAACATAATATCATTCATAGCCGTAAATATAATTATGGCATCAACAATAATACGCATACATGTGCATCCTATAAGACGTAGCATAACTTCATAATTTCTATCAATGTGCCAAGTCTTATAAACGTCATGCTAATCTAGGCGTATTGTAGAAAACTCTTTATGAAATGTATAAATGGAAACTAACAATTATATATATATATATATATATATATATATATGCTATATAAAAGAAAAGACCCACTGACAGTTACTTGCAATGTCACATCCGTTTAAGCTAAGAAGTCAGAGTCTCCAATAGTAATCGCACTTAAGCATAATATTGGGACTCATTAGTAAAACTCAACTTAAATGATCAAATTTGAGAAAACGGAGCACAAATTTGGAATCAGGGTGTCGAAATACGATAAGGAGGATCCCCGGTAAATTTTACAAAAAGTCAACTAAAAAGTCAATGGTCAACAGAGACGTCGAGACAGTCAATATGTTAAAACTTCAAAATTTCACTAAATGGATGTAAAAAACGGACTTAGAATGTCGAAATTAGCCTAGTAAGGTTTCCGACAAAATTTCAAAAAAGTCAACACGAGGAATATTCTAAGCCTAATTTGAAACCAGGTTGGGCTGGAACATTGGCCCAAAGGTTTGGGTCGGTTGGACTAAAGATTTGGGCAAAGATTTTGGACCGGGTTTTGGGCTTAAAGAACTTTTTTTTCTTTTTCTTTTATTTTTCTTTCTTCTCCGGCCGATTGCCGCTGCAACTGCCGGATAAATCCCTGCTCCGGCCACCCAAAGTCTTCACTAAACCTAACATTCCAATATATCAAATCAAAGCTCAAATAACAAGGAACCAAAATGTACCTTTGGTTTCCTTAGCCGTGGCCGAAGTTGGCTGGAAAAAGGCTCAAAAGCTGCCAAAAAACTAGGGGAGAGTTTTCCCTGAATTTTTCTGAACCAAAACTTTGACATTTCTCTTAAATAAGTCAAGAATCACAAACAAATCAGTTATCTAAGATGATTGACGTTAATTTTGGGTTTACCTTTGTCGAAAACATCATGTCCTCACCGGAATCCTCTCGAGCCGTGAGCAGTGAGAGTCCATGCGAGAGAAACTAATGAGAGGGAGAAAAAGAGAGAGAGAGAGAGAGAGAGTTCAAGTATTGGCTTGGTGAATCTCGCCGAAGATGGCGAGGTGGTGTGGCGATGCTTGTCGTTCTAGCGAGGGTGGTACAGTGTGGGTGGCTTTCTGCACTTGTAGAAAGAGAGATGTGAAAGGGAGCTAAAAGAGAAAGAAGGAAACGGGTGAGGGTGAATTGAGAGAGAGTATGGGAGAAAAAATGACACGGGGATAGTAGGAATAGGAGACCCCACGTGGGTGGGTTCCATGCAGAAAATCTACACAAAAAATTAATAAAATAATGAATGGTGATTATCTAGAATAATGAATTTATCAAAATGCCCTTGAACTTCATAAGTCCATAAAATCTCCATCGTAGCTCCAAATTCAATTCTGTTTACACCCACGTATTCGTAGTGACGAGCACTATGAGGATACATTAAAAGAATGTTTCATATGTCTCACAACATGCTGGTCAACGAAAGTTAACATCCTCACCTATAAGGGCATTTTTGTCAATTCACTCTTTTAAAATTAATAAAATCGTAAAATTAGGGACGGATTGTCACATCTCAGAGTAACAAAGGGCTGTGTAGTACACTATCTTAAAGGGGATTTGAACATCAGGGCTTTCCGTGATGCTGACTGGCAGGTGATCCCAATGATAGAAGATCTACTACTGCAATGTTTTTGTTTCTGGGTTCCAATCTTATTTCTTGGTCCTCTAAGAAACTATAAACTATTTCCAGATCCTCTATTGAAGTAGTGTATAGATCTTTGTCTACCATTGATGCTGAACTTAATTGGATTAAACATATAGTCACTTTTCTGTAAGTTCCATTTTTTGTGCCTCCAAGTTTGTTATGTGATAATCTCTCAACTATAGCACTTACTTGTAATCCAGGTATACATAAAAATAAAATAAAACAACATATTGAGATTGATGTTCATTTTGTGAGGGAAAATAGTTACTAAAAGATTATTGCAAGTTTAGTTTGTTTCCTCAACTGAATAGTTTGATGATATCCTGACAAAAGGACTCTCTGCTCCATTATTTCAGACACATTGTTCCAATCTTAGAATTCAGTTCTCTAGTACCTAGTTTGAAGGGGAATATTAAGAGCATAGGTTCAATGGTAGTGCTATTGACAAGTGTCAATTAATTAGATAGGCAGTCATAAGCTGTTGTAAGCTATCATAGTTAGGTTTTGCACTAATATTGTGAAGTGCACAATTCATTCGTTCTTAAGGACACTACAATTTCAATTCTTCTTTTCTAAGAAAGCTCTCGATTTCTCTTCTATGCAATCAGCTTCTCTCTCTGATAATCTTGCTCTCTAGGGTTCATCTCATCTTCGTTGACAGTTTCTTGTCTTAAAAAATGAAAGGAAAATGTAATATTTTGAATATTTTAGGGTTATTCTTTAATACCATGAATTGGTTTGGCATAAGAATTTTATTTCACTAAAAAACTGTATCTATGCATACATAAAAAATTGTTATGAATCCATTCTTTTTTTTTTTTTTTTTTGTTCATACAAATATTTTGAAAACACACAAACTTCCAATAAAATGATATTGTTTTAAACTTATACAGGGTTTCATATTGCCATTGAAATCAATAGTAGCCTAAGTTAAGGATAAGGAGTAAGTTATGTATAAAAATAAAAAATGATTGCGATATTAGCTAAGCAGGGTATTTTAGTAATTGATGAGCGAATAATTCATTATCCTCGTACAAGATGAAATTAAACACTCTTTAATCTCCCGGATAAATTGGGCAACCCCACCAACAATAGGTGAACTTGATTGATCTATAGTGTATGCATGTTAGAATGTTGTGATATTAGCTGGTGAATTGAAAGAGATCATTGTCATAAAATGACAACAATTTGATGGATGTTCCACGGCAGGGGTTTGGTAGGGTAACAAAATTGAGAATTGAGAAAAGGGCAGTTCCTACTTTAATAATTAATTTCTAGAGGACCCTTAATCTTCATAGTTGTTGAACTAATCTTTGGATGTACCACTACCACTATTTTTGCCCTATCAGTCCGTCCGAGGGGTCAAAATTTTTGAAAGATTCAAGTACATTCATGCATTCGGATTGCTGAATAGGTGACATATTGTTATCCTATCTTACTATGTCCTTAATGCATCCACCAACCAACAAAGTTACAAAACAAGAACATCCCACTTCCCAATAGTAATATTCTTTTGTCTAGTTTTCTATTTGGCTAAATGGCATGGATTTGTATGTTATTAGACTATTAAGTATTTGTCATTTTTCAATGAAATCACACATTTACATTGGATTGTTTTGTCTTACACACTCATGTTCAATTATGACTTATTTGGAAGAGCTTTTGAAATTATTGAAAGCGCTTTTGGTGAAAGTATTTTTGGGTTCCAAAAGCACCTGAAGTGCTTCATGCAAGAAATACCACTTATGTGCCTCTTCTAGAAAGTACTTCAAGTGTTTTTCCAAGATTCACCTACATTTGTAATAAGTATTGAGTATATGTGACATGTCAGCAATTGCCACATCAGCATAGCTTTTATGTTAGCTTATGTGATACGCCTAGCAGTTTAGAAGTAGATATAAAAAGACATTTTTTCCCTCTCTGTATTCTTAAGATTCATTCAGTGTTAATCAAATAGATATAAAGATTTCAAGTCTTCTTCTACAAGCTTTCTTCGTATACTCTTTTCTTCTTCAATTGTTAAAGTTGGTGATTGATTTCATCTGTTAATATGGTATCTCAGAGCCTTTTTTGCTCGCGCAATTGATCTTGGACGGATTTCCGCTGCTCTGTTTCTTGAGGTTTTCTCTGTTCTTTGCTGTTTCAAGAATTTTGTGAAGTTGAATTTCTGGGTATTTTTTTGTTGGAATCAGTATCATAGTTATGTCTGTTACAATCTTGATTTCTGTAATGATGAAGGCCGATGCCAAACTTGTTTCGTTTGATGATGATAGTGTTTTTGAGTTGATAATAATTTGTTCTGAAGGCCGATGCCGTTTGATGAATTAAGGTCGATAACCATTGCGTTCATCAAGATCTGACAGTTTTGATTGAAGAATTTTCCGATTTCAAGATTTTTTTTTTTTTTGTAAAGTTTTTCATCTGGGTTATTTTGGTTCCATCTGGGTCTTTCTGTAATTGTCTCTTTCCTACCAAATCATGTCTGAATCGGTGAAGTTGGAGAGTCTTTTAGGGATGTTGACTATCAAATTGAATGATGATAATTTCATCAAATGGAACTTTCAGTTGTGTTCTGTACTTCGTGGGTATGATTTGTTTGATCACTTCACTGGTGATTCTGTTTGCCCTCCTAAATATGTTTTGACTCCTGAGTTAGGTGTTACCAAGGAAATTAATACTGCCCACAGAGATTGGATTAAGGCCGATATGGCTTTGTTAAGTCTTCTCATTGCTACCCTTAGTGATGATGCTATGAAGCATGTAGTTGGTTCTAAAACTTCTCATGAGGCTTGGGTTGCATTACAAGACAGATATATGGCTGTTTCTAGTGCTAGTATTAATCATTTGAAGGCTGAGTTGCACACTATTCAGAAAGGTGGTGATAGTGTAGACAAGTTTTTGTTGCGGTTGAAGGTCATTAAAGATAAACTTGTTGCTGCTGGTGAGCAAGTCTCAGATCATGATATTGTTATAGCGGCGTTGACTGGTCTTCCACCTGATTTTGACATGATTCGAACAGTCATTCTAGCAAGAGACACACCAATCACACTGAAGGAATTTCAGGCACAATTGTTAGGGGCTGAAAAGAATCTTGAGACTCGGATGCAGTCTCTTGTTCATACTATGGCTGCAATGTATGGTAATGATGGTTGCCTACATTGAATCCTATGACTGGTTCTTCTAGTTCTTCTAGTGCTTCAGCGTCTGCAGTTCAGTTTCCTCAACCTTATGGATATGGTTTTGTAGCTCCTGGTTCTTCCAATGTTGGGTTTTCTCAGTCTCCTAGTTTCTCACAACCTACTGGTTTTTCTCAGCAAGTCTAATGGGCCTCATGGAAATAATTTTCAACCTAATAGGAACACTTTTGGTGGTCAAGACAATCGGTCCTATGGCAATACTACAAGTTATAAAGGCCGAGGTTTTAAACCCAAGTTTAATGGTTTTAAAAATGGCAATGTTTGGTCTGGCAATACATCAAATAGGCAAAAGGTTATTCCTGAGTGTCAGATTTGCTCAAGGAAAGGACATACTGCAGTCACTTGTTTGTATCGAAATGACAATACTCAACCACCTCAGGAGTGCCAGATTTGTGGAAAAATGGGTCACATTGCAGTTGACTGTAGACATAAGGGAAACTTTTCCTATCAAGGGGCTCCTCCACCTCCTTCTCTCAGTGCCAATTATGCTTATCAGGATTTAAGCTCTGTCTTTCAGTATTCTCCTTCGAGGCCTTCTCCTGCATATCATATTCCTTATGGTCTTCCAGGCAACACTTCTGCGCAGTCTTATTCTTCAGGTTTTTCACCAGCTCCTGCCTTTATAACTCAGGCTTCACAGTCTAATATGTTCTCTGACATTCCTAGAGTTCCTATGTCGTCAAATGTGCCTGATTTACCTACACAATCTGCTTCTGAGGGTGAGTGTTGGATAGTGGACACTAGGGCTTCACATCATATGAGTCCTGATATTAATCTATTAGAATCTGCTATTCCTTATAATGGAGATAAGAAGATTATTGTTGCGAATGGTATAGGTTTAGATGTTCAAAATGTTGGCACTGTGACTATTCAAAATCCACCTAATAATCTTTATCTTCGTAATGTTTTACATGTTCCCATGTTGACCGTTAATCTTCTTTCTGTAAAATAGTTATGCAAAGATAATCATAGTTGGTTTATCTGTGATGATTTAAACTTCTTTGTGCAGAACAATGCCACAGGGATGGTACTTTACCAAGGAAAGAGTAGCAATAATGACTTGTTTCGGATTCCTGTACATGTGTTCCCCAAGCTACTGACTCCAGGTGGTTTTTGTTCTTCTGCGTTATTGGGAAAAGCTGTTAAGTCTTCATTGTGGCATCATCGGTTGGGCCACCCTTCTAATGACATTCTAGCAGCCATGTTACAGAGTTCTCAGATCTTAGTAGCTAGTGATGTAACTACTCATGTTTGTTCTGATTGTCTTAGTGGCAAGATGAGTAAATTGCCCTTTTCAGAAAAGATAGATAGAGTTGATATTCCATTTCATAAAGTGCATTGTGATATCTGGGGACCTTCACCTGTTACTTCTCTTGAGGGTTTTCGATACTATGTGTCATTTGTAGATAAGGCTACTCGATTTGTATCGATTTTCCCTTTAATGAATAAATCAGAAACTTTTGGTCTTTTTGTTCGATTTTGTGCTTATGTTGAGAATCAATTTAATAGTAAGATCAAAGTTCTTCAAACTGATGGTGGTGGTGAGTTCTTGAGTAATGTTTTTAAGGACTATCTTCATACTCATGGTATCCTACACTTTATTTCTTGTCCTTACACCCCATAACAGAATGGTTTAGTGGAAAGGAAGCATAGGCATGTTGTCGAGACTGCTCTTACTATGATGACTGCTGCAAAATTGCCTCTCAAGTTCTGGTATCATGCTGTTGCGCATGCTGTGTTTTTGATTAATCGAATGCCAGCTCACATTCTTGGGATGAAGTCTCCTTTTAGCATGTTGTTCAACAAGACACCTGACATCTCTTCTATAAGAATTTTTGATTCAGCTATCTATCCTTATCTTAGACCTTACAATGCTTATAAGCTTCAATCTCGATCTTCTCAATGTGTCTTTTTGGGCTATTGTTTTGGATACAAATGTGCTATCTGTTACAATCGTGTTACAGGCAAGCTTTTAATATCTAGGCATGTCATTCATGATGAGGACTGTTTTCCTTTTGCTAGTACTTCAGTTTCTTCACAGTGTGCCAATTCTGGGCTTGTCAATAATACCAATGTGTCTACACGGCCTATTGTTGTGAATTTAGTCTCTTCTTCTCCGAGACAAGGACCTGCTTCTTCTAGTACTGATATTCCACATGTCTCTGCACCATTTTATACATCGGTTGGTACTCCAACTTCCAGTCAATCTCCTTCTGAACACAATGTACAGGATTCCCCTTTAGATGCTACTCTTTCACATTCCCCTGTGGTGCCTGTCCATTCGTCTCGATGGTTGGAAGTGGTGGTACTAGATACTGTTCCTTTGGGTTCTGAAGCTTTATCACCTGCCTCCGTTCCTCACGGTATTCAAACAAGGTTAAAGACTAGTACTATAACCAGGAAAGATTATAGTGCACTTGCTACAATGTTTCCTCACATTCAATCCTTGGAATTACATGACAGTAATCATTTTTCAGGAAGGTTTACATTTCTTGCAGACATTGTCGATGTTTCTGAGCCTTCAAATTTCAGAATTGCTTCTCAAATTCCTCAATGGCAGAAAGCAATGCAAGAGGAGTTTGATGCTTTACAAGCTCAAGGTACATGGACTTTTGTTCCTTCTCCTTTCGATAAGAACATTATTGGCTGCAAATGGGCATATAAAATCAAAAGAAATCCTGATGGGACTATTTCTAGATATAAAGCTCGATTAGTAGCCCAAGGTTTTAGTCAAGAAAAAGGTTTAGATTACACAGAAACCTTTAGTCCTGTGGTTCGGCATACCACAGTGAGGATTATTCTTGCTTTGGCAGCTACAAATCGTTGGTCCCTTAGGCAACTTGATGTTAAGAACGCTTTCTTACATAGGGAATTACATGAGGGGGTATATATGAAACAACCTCAAGGTTTCGTGGACTCTGCGTATCCTTCACATGTATGTAAACTTGTCAAGTCTTTATATGGATTAAAGCAAGCTCCACGGGCATGGAATGCCAAATTCACAAGTTATTTGACTGTTCTTGGTTTTCAAATGTCACTCTCAGATTCCAGCATGTTTGTTAAAGAAGTGAATACAAATGTAATCATTCTTTTACTTTATGTTGATGATATTATCATCACAGGTTCCAATTCAGTTTTTATTCAATCTGTGATAGATGATTTGGCTGGGGTGTTTGATCTTAAGGATTTGGGTCAGCTTACTTACTTTCTAGGTTTACAAATCCACTATAAATCTAATGGTGATATCTTTGTGAATCAAGAAAAGTATATCACAGATCTAATACATAAGGCTGGTATGGACAATTGTAGGCCTTGTTCTACACCCTGTCAGCCACATAACTCTGTCTTTGTTGATGAAGGGGAATTATTATCGGATCCTACACTCTTTCGCAGTCTTGTTGGAGCTTTACAGTACTTGACATTTACCAGACCGGATATAGCTTTTGCTGTCAACAATGTCTGTCAATTCATGAGTGCTCTAACAGATGTCCATTTTGGTTTGGTTAAGCGAATCTTGCGTTGTCTTCAGGGGACTATGACCAGTGGCTCGACTTTCACTGCTGGAACTGATATGCAAATCAAGGGTTATAGTGATTCTGATTGTGCAGCTGATGTTAATACACGGAGGTCCATTACTGGTTATGTCATTTTCTTGGGTGCTAATCCTGTGTCCTGGCAGTCTAAGAAACAACATTCAGTTTCTCGGAGTTCCACAGAAGCTGAATACAAGGCCTTAGCTCATGCAGCTGCTGATATTGCTTGGCTCAGGTTGATTTTAAAGGATTTGTGTGTTGTTCTGCCTAATCCTCCTCTGTTATATTGTGACAATCAGTCAGCAATTGCCCTTAGTTTAAATCCAGTGCAGCATTCCAGAATTAAACATTTAGAAACAGATTTTCATTTCATTCGTGAACGTGTCCAACGGGGTGATTTGATAGTTCAATATGTTTCTACCAAAGAGCAGGTTGCAGATGTTCTCACTAAAGGCTTACATGGTCCAGATTTTCTTCGACATACTGGCCATCTCAAACTGGGACTTCCCAGTTACGATTGAAGGGGGGGTATTGAGTATATGTGACATGTCAGCAATTGCCACATCAGCATAGCTTTTATGTTAGCTTATGTGATACGCCTAGCAGTTTAGAAGTAGATATAAAAAGACATTTTTTCCCTCTCTGTATTCTTAAGATTCATTCAGTGTTAATCAAATAGATATAAAGATTTCAAGTCTGCTTCTACAAGCTTTCTTCGTATACTCTTTTCTTCTTCAATTGTTAAAGTTGGTGATTGATTTCATCTGTTAATAATAAGGATTAGTTCAAAAAGCATTCTAATCAAAGTGCTTTTAGTCATTTTAAAAATACTTTCGAACGAGCCTTATTTTGTTTTTGCTTGATTTATTTAATCTTATGGCCAAAAATTAAAAAAAAGGTATGTCAAAATGGAAAAATGGTGTAATTATCATTTCTGTTTCGATATTATTTGAGCGGTTTTGTGTTATTTTCTTGTTGCAAATATTTGACAACATGGATGCAACTTCTCCTATAACAAACTACAAAGAATAAATCTCAGTAAAACAATCTATGTTGACATGGTAAATCAGTGGCCTCTTCCAAAAATAGTGGGATACTCGATTAAGAGGCTTTTAAGCGATTTAGCATGTATAGAAGCCTTTGTAAAGGCTTCTAACTTGGGTTCCATAGACCTTTCCAGTAATCCATGGGATATTGGTGTACCCGCTTAAATACATCATCTGCAAAATGAGTGTTGGGCCTGCAAGTCAAGCAATTAGGCATAGATTGAAAATAAATCTTTGTATCTCCTCGTATGCTTATTAGTATTCCACATTGTACGTATTAAAAATATCGCGCAACCACATCAGATAAATCAAAATGATTTCAGATGATTCTTAACCCCTCAAGATATTAAATCAAAGAGATTCTGATACCCACCACATTTTCATATATATCGTAAACTGTTATGTTTCAAACAAATGGCTCTCCTACCCCCACAATTCGAGAAGTGTTCTCAAATTCATTTGACAAAATTCATTAGTGACAAGATATCAAACAGATGCTTCGAACTCAGAACAATAATTAGTATTATCATGCACATTAAAATATTAT